AAGACTCCAGGATGTTTTGAACAAGCCTAGACTCCGGTTTTTCCAACTGCAATGAACCCATATCTATGAATGTCCGGCCACAGAGAGAGGCATACTTCCTAACCGCAGTAGTAGTGACAAGACAATCCGTGTACGGAGTCCAAGGACACGCTTTGAGCACTGGATGCTTGGAGTCACGAGCAAGTACTTTCGTGCGGTTTTCATCGTAGCGAACAAGAAAAGCAGGATAAGGTTCTGGACATGGGTTAAGAGCCATGGCGAATCTGCACACAAGACTAATCACAGCACAAACAAGTACGAAGAGTAACAAGAGAACAATAAGTTTGAGAGTGCAAGAGAGAAGCGAAACTTAGATAAGTACAAATAGCCAGATCTGATCTTTAACAAGAACTATGAGGACTTATAGAGCAGCACGAGTTCCAATGCTGATAAGACATTGTGAACAGGAAGAGGCAACAAAAAATTCAAACATCCTCGCTAACAGATATGAATGGTTTTGAGCATTTGGCAAAACATACCAAAAACAAGGCCCATTAACGACCCTTTATCAGCCCAGACACACTAACTGTGTTGCAACCACTCAAGAAGATCACTTTGAGACCCAAGGCAGGGTCACACAGTTTCCTCTGAGATCTGAAAAATTTAGATTAAAACAAAACACTAAGAAACAAGAAACTGAGAACATCGGAATGTGCTCATATATGCACAAATATATACGTAACCACAAATAGCAGAACCTGAAACAGAGGCTGTAAGACAGAAAAAGTGGTAAGACTTGCAAGTCATAAGTTGGAAAATGATCAACGCACCAGCTCATTGAGGTAGCCATTTTTCATAGAGGAGTTTTCACACTCAGTGACCAACCCAGAATAGTCTTCATATCAGTATACATGTTCAGACTCTATCAAGAGAGATTCAAACAAAGAACAGAAAGCCCCTTCCCCACTCAGAATCCGACGCAAGACAAAAATCTCGAATCTGAGTTGATGACTTCGGCTTCTCTTTCCACAATA